AATCGTGTACTGAAAATCTACAAAGTTTGAATCTTTATAAGAAGTTTAAGCACTCTCAATCTTGAAATCGATAAATTCATCACCTAACTTCATTTTGAGACTTGGTATATAAACTTCCAAAATTAAAATGGAAAATATATTATAAACAATAAACATAATAAGCGTATTAATAAATTATAAAATAATAAATTAATGCCTATAAATACTTATAAACATAGATATCAGTAGTTCTTGAGTTCTGTAAGTTATAATTTGAAATCAAAGTAACAACTATATTAATTTCAATAGTATATTTATCATTTAGAAATTATAATGCCAATGTCTTCATTATTTATGCACACACCTAAGATAATTCCTCTAAACTCAGAATCTAATTCTGATGGTCTTAAAATCTAGTAGATTTAATAAGTTATGCCATAACTTTTGTTTTATAATCTTGTAACTTCAGTATCTCCATTTATTATTGTTGTAGCTTTGATGAATATTGAATAAAATAAAATATTTTCTTTGCACTGTTTAAGTCTAACTTATATTTAAATTTTAAAAATAGTTAAAATTATTTAGGAGAAAAATGTATTAGAGGCTCATCACTCATTAATATAATTTTATTTATTATACATTGTCTTTAGAATAGTAATTAGTATGTGAATATGATAGTGATGATATTATAAATACAGTATATCTACTATTAATAGGCTTCTTACTAAATAAATCAAAATATATATTTATATTAACATTTACATGACATATTAAGCTATTTATTAGTTTGGTCTATTTATCTAAACTAAACGTTATATGTTTATTAAGAATGTTTACCTATTTATACACACCACTATGTACATATTACTTAATATAGTAATATTTTAATTGTTTAAAAATTAAAATAAAAATATATTAACTAATTCTAAATACTGACAAAGTATTTAATATAACTTGTTCATTTAAAATATCATATGTAATAAACAATAAATTAAAGTTGAAATCATAAATTCGTCACAATAAATTATAAAATAAAATAAAATTAGTTTGCCTTTAAATAGCATAAGTAATAATATTATAGTGTGTATGGCGCATGCATTAACAATTCGACAATTCGGTATCGAATATATCACATGGGTCGTGTACCTTTATCTACAGGGCACCGGTATCTAGACACAGCGTATAATTTACAACCAATATGTTATCAAATAGTAAATACAGATACTGTGTTTTAGTTACTTTTAAAAATGTTTTGAAAATAGCGAAATAACAATGCTCCGTCTTACTGCTTGCTGCCATTAGTGTTTACTTATTTTGCTTCTAGTTTCACAAAAATTATGGACTTATTTATTTTCTTAATTTCAAATGCTCATTTTAATGTTAAATATTGGATATACTGCTTTTCACTACGAAAATGGTACAACACCACATTGTTAACCCGTGTAGCAATATCTCAATTTCGACCAAGATTGGAGATACTGCTCTTTCATTACGGCAG